AAAAAAGTCCACGACTATGGGATGTGCCACGCCCCTTCTTACAAACTCATGTATATATAGTCTACTATAAGCACCTACCATAGATATGCCTGCATACGAAATTTCAAGCTCATGTGACTTATGGTTCCGATGTTATAGCTGATAAAAAATTTCACGCCTATGGGAGGTGCCACACCCCCTTGTCGAATCCCAATTTTATTCTCCCTATCACAGGCCCAGCCCAGGTGTCATGACAATACTCTGTAAAATTTTCATTCGATTCTGTCCATCCGTTTAGGCTGCAACCTGGCACATACATACATACATACTTCTGCAAATATATAGTAGATATTTTTAATAAGGGGACCTCATTTGAACAATGGGAAACTAAAAATTTTAAATGTTACGTTAAAAAATACATATTTGGTTGCGACGGGTGAGACATCCAATATGAATTTTTTTGAACGCTTATAACTTCTCAACATAAATGTATTTTTCTAATAACTTACCACCATTTTAAAGTTCATGAGTTGTTTCTTCTTTTTGGATAATTATTCGTTGCATTGCCACCTGTAGTACATGAGGAATGCCTTGAAAACTGCATGCAAAATTGTTACAGCATATTATATATGCATTTCTAACAGTAAAATAGAGAAAATAGTGAAAAATAAACCGATAAAAATGTATTTCTAAATAATTATACTACCTGCTTTACTGTTTTTACAAATTTAAACACAATTTACATATGTATGTAATGTACTTTTTTACCTGAGGTGTATGAACGCAAATTTTCTACATATCGTTAACATAGTATGGATAGGGCGTATTTCACACTGTCGCTGAAATGCAAAAAAGCGACAACTAACTAAAAATGTTTATTGCATAAAACTATGTGGGGACTTATGATTCGATGAAATTCATCATGTTGTGTATGAAAATTAAAATTTATTCTCAGCGTAAAGCTCATTTTAATGTAATTGTAATTTTGTCGGCCGCTGCGGTGTAGTGGTAAGCAGTGCGCACTTCCACTCCGCAGCACCTGGGTTCAAACCCTGGTCAAAGCAATATCGCAAAAAATATAGAAAAAAGGTTTTTTCTTAACAGCGGTTGTCCCTTGGCAGGCAATGGCAAACCTCCGAGTGTATTTCTGCCATGAAAAACAGCTTCTCATAAAAATACCATCGCCGTTCGGAGTCGGCGTAAAACTGTAGGTACCTCCGCTTTGTGTGACAACATAAAGGCGCACGCCACAAATCGAAGGAGAAGCTCAGCCAAACACTAACATATGTGTAAGCGCCAATTTATTATTATTATTAATAATATATATATGGCCACCAGAATAAATGTCATTAGGTCAACGGCAACCGAATTGCGTGAGTATACCACCTACTTGTTATCGCCAACAACAAGTTTAACATCTGGCGACGAGAAAAAAGAAGAATACAACGATGACTGAAGAGTTCAATGTGCTAAAGGAACAGAACGCTTGGATGGACAACTTTTCGAGAAGGTCTCTATGTCAAGATGCTCCTCTGGTTCCAGCGTTTGTGCACTTCAACATTCAACAGCAGAAATGGGAGTCCTACCTGGAACAACTCAAGCAACATTTCTCTGGTTATGCTGTAATTGACGCCAACAAACAGAAATCATTTTTCTTATCTTGGTTGGGTAATGATGCTTATGAAACACTCATAAAACTTGTCGGCTTTGACGAGTTACAAAAACAAACATTTCTTGAACTTTATGGAAAACTAACGGAATTCTATAATGAAAAGGTCCATGTAGTTGCAGCTCGTTATGAATTTCATAAGGCAGAAATGGGCAGCCGTACCTACAAAGAATGGGTAGCCGAACTGCGAAGATTAGCCCGGCAGTGTGCTTTTGTGTGCAAAAAAGAAAATTGTATGCATGATTTCCAGGCGATATGACCAGAGACAAAATAATTTTGAATTCGCCCGAAGATGCAGTTCGTACGGCAGCCTTACAAAAACCGCAGCCAACGCTGGCCGAAGTGCAGCTAATCGCCGATTCATTTGAATTAACAATAAAGACGGAGGGCGCAATCAAAAACAAACGAACACGAATGCAAATGGAGCTCGACGAGGAGTCCAAAAAAGTGCTAGTGGTCAGCACGCCGCTGGGCTTGTTTCAGTACCATCGACTGCCATATGGGGTAGCGAGCGCACCAGCCATGTTCCAGAAACATTTCGAGCAGCTATTATGTGGAGTTGAAGGATGTGTAAATTACATCGACGACATCATTGTGGCAGGCGCGGACGAATAGGAACATACCGATCGCTTAGCCAAAGTTTTAAAGATACTACAAGCAGCAGGTATCAAATGCAAGAGGGAGAAATGCGAGTTTTTGAAGACCAAGGTAACGTATTTGGGTCGTGAAATAAGCTCAGATGGTATTTTACCAGATGAGTCTGGAATCCGAGCTATGAAGAACTTGCGGCGCCCGACAAACTTAAAAGAGCTTGAGGCATTATGGGTAAAATTAATTTCTACCACAATTTTATTCCAAATTATTCCCAACTTGCAGCCAATGAACAAATTAAGGGTGAAAAAATGTGACTTTCCAGTGGAAGTCGGAGCAAGAAAACGCGTTCAATGAACTCAAAGGGCATATCGCTAGCTTAGAGTGAAAAGTTGCTAAGTCCACTTTTTATGAAAACTCATATTTTGATATAGGAGGCTAGAGAAATTGAATACGCATCGTTTCGAAAATTATAAAGGTACTTGTTTTATTTTTTCCTCTTCATAAGCAATAAAAGGAAAATTTGCTAAGTCCAAAAGAAGCACCACAAATCCGATAAGGCCAAAATAATACGACATCTTTTAATAAATATCGAATCCTTCTGATTCTTATGGAGTTTTGCTTTGCTTTAAACGCGCAAAATGTTTGATTCAAAGTCTTGCGAAATAGTTAAAGAAAATGGCTATAGGAAGATTTTTTCCTCTCCTGTAAAATTTTTAAAATGGGACTTAGCAACTTTTCTTTCTAAGCTAGCGATATGATGATTTCAAAGAAATATATTTTTTTTATAGAGGAAATGCATAAGAAAGAAAAAAGATGTACACATAAAAAGCATGTTTACTTTTTCCTTTAAAATATACTATATATATTTGAGGTGTATTATATTTTTTCAGACTGTTTTGAAAAAGTACTATAATTTTCTTAGAAAATTTTGGCAACCCTAGTGCGATAGTGCATAAAGGGGTATAGCTGCAAACCAGCCAGAGCAATTTGCGTAGAGAAGCCAATGACGAAGTTAAGTTAAATTAAGTGAATAGGACAAGTCACATTTAATCTAGAAGCTGAACAGACTATGGGGGACCTCTTCTTCCTGGGACAAAAGTGCAGCGGATACAGATTCCATTTTATACATTTAAATTGATTAAAAGGACTTCTGTACATATGGCTAATAAATTATGGTTTTAAATTTATTTATTTCTGTCCAAAGATCTGATTAAGAACTTCGAATATCCTGTTTTTGGTTGGCATCGCGGTGAATAGTTCTTAACGGATTACATCATATCATTTTT